CTGGAGAAGTTTGTGGATTTTTCCTCGTGGGTAGGGGATCCATTGGAGCAGGGGAAAAGGGTGTAAGGACTCCTCCTCCTCATTTAAGAAAGAAGCAGCAGTAACAGCACGGAATGAACTGACCTGCACTCCCCCAGTCCCTGCCCCCTGTGCTGCTGGGGGGAGGAGGTAGAGCTGGGAGGAAAAGGAAAGGGGGGGGGAAGGTGTTGGTTTTAAGATCTGGTTTTGTTTCTTTCTGTCCTCTCGAGTAATCGGTTTTGTTTCCCTTCGTCCTTCTAAGTAATCATTAATAAACTGTTTTGCTTTGAGAAAGCCCTGTCTGTTTTGCCCAGGACCATGGTTGGTGGGTGCTCCCTCTGTTCTTGTCTCAACCCTCAGTCCCTTTGTTTTTTTTTTCTCTCCTCTCTACTTTACTGGAGAAGGAGAGACTGTGTGAGTTTTAGTTGCTGGATCAGCCTAAAACCACGACATAAGGCTTAACTCAACTCTCACAATAACTAGCATTTTCATTTACTTACTGCCACAAACAATGGACTGCATTAATCTTTATTTAGTACAGAATCTTTACTGAATGTCCTAAATTTAAGTCCTTTCTCTTTCAGTCATAAGCTGTTAACAAACCCACACTAAACCCTATCAGAACAAGCTTCATTAGTTTACCTTTCTGTGTTTTAAGAAAATCCGTTTAGTTTTTGTAGCAAGAACCTTTGTGAAAGACTTTCATAAGGATGAGAAACCATGCCTCTGAATAGACAGAACGGACAAAGAAACGTACAGTGCAAACAAGACTAAGTTACAGCCCTCTCCCACAGTATTTAACAGCATTAATAACTACTTTTCAGGTAGGCATTGCAAATTTTAAATGCCTTCAAAAGAAGTAGTGCACACAGTTACAAGAACACCAACACTTATACATGTCATTTTCTGTGCACAGAAATGGAGTCAAGCATTTACCCCAGCATATTTGAAGTACAGTTAACAGGACGAAAGTTGTTCAGTGATTTTTTGCCTTATTTCTTAAAAGCTGAAGTATTTCTAATTTATCAGTTCCGCTGTTCACATTTCAAAGGCTACCATCATCAAGAATCTACAGAAAGAACCTATATATGTATTAAAACAAATCTTTCCTATACATGTAACATCACTAGGAGTGAAAAATGGAAGCTCATGGTCAAATCCAAGAAACCAAGAGTGCAGGACCAATGCATTTTGCTGGGGAAAGCTTTATATGACCCATTTAAGTAACATGTTCAACCTACAACAGAAGTGGAAGAAACAGAGCAGCCTTTAGGGCATCTAATCTTTAAAAGAATTCCAACATGGCAATATCCCAACTAGCTCTGCTAAACCAGTTGACTGCACAGTGCCCCAGCAAGTGGCAGGACCCCGCTGACAGACAAAGAGGCAGGAACATGCATCACAGCGGCAGCACGTAATGTACTTGGTATAAGCCACTAGGCATCTAGAGCTAAATTTTGTGCCTGAGCAATGTGTGCATTGAAATAATCTGCAACCATTATCCAAACTTGTCATTTTTAAGTATACTAATTTCTCGGACACCGTTTTCAATGTGCCATTTCAGGGAAGAAAAGAAATGAAATATTCCCATGCAATCTCTTCTTTACTAAATGAAAGATAACTAGAGAACAACAGTTTAGTGGCAGTGATTTTCTTCAGTTCGAGACAGTCATTCCATTAAGTCCTATTGTGGTCTGTTCTTTCTTAAACATTGAAGAGAATCTGCACAGCTTGAAATGCTGTTAAACATTATTTCAATTTTGCAGCTTTATCTACAAAGACGTCCCTCCTGAGCAAGCACCAACAAAGGTAATGAAGTTAAACACACAAAACGCTTTGTTTTCTAACAAATGTTTTTCAGTCCTGAAGTAAAAACCAGGACAAGGACGTCAGTCAAGCGTCGAAGATCAGTACTTGTTTAGTTAAAACAGGAAAAAGTCCCAGGCCAGTGTTTTAAGAGATTTCCCAAGTAACAGTTGCCACAGCAAATGAGTAAGATGATGTTACCTCTACCATTATAAATTACTCCACACAGCTGTAGCATTTAGAAACAAAAGAAACTAGAAACATCTAGCTCACATAATACACTAAGTAATACATCCTTTAAAGAAAACAACTTCAATAAAGAAGTTTCCGAGACTACCATTGAGTGTTGGCAATCACGTTAATAAGAACTAACTTTGTGTAGGAAGCATTCTGCAATTAAGAGGTCACAGAGGTTAAATAAAAACAATGAAACGACCCCCTTACACAGATTTGTTGAAGACACTTCATTAAAAAAAGGAATATAATGTAATCCTTGTGAAATAAATACTTTTGCTGACATTTCCTTGCAACAATTTTTCCTCTCTTCCAAGAGCACTGTCTTGTTTAAAGATATGCTTATGAAGACATGCCTTAAGATTTTAGTAGTTATGTAGGATATCACAAGTTAAAGCACAGTATCTTCAAGGCCAGAAACAAGAATATAGTGATAAGACGACTGCCAGCTCCTTAATGTGGAAGTTACACAAAATCTTGCCCTTTGCCTAGAATGCCCCCCAAACAACAGATTTTAAAGTTGCAAAATCTTAAAAAGAATTTTGGCATTAGATCACATAAGAAAAGTGTTTTCAACATGTAATTAGGTTCCTTTAGTAAAACACACCACGTAAGCTGATGATGTACTACTTACCACTGAAAGCACAAAATTGAGAAGAGCTGTCCCACTGTGGAAGAGGATTGTTACTAACGTTGTAACTGTAGTAAACAAGAGGCTCACGTTGCGACTCATCACTATCCACAGAGACTCCAGGATCTGGAAAAGGAGGAGAAGATAAAAGTCAGGCACCGGATGATATTAGCTAGGACAGAGAACTGCTTACAAAGTGATTGATTCATCTCTATCAAGCCATACAAAAGAGACATTTTAAAAAAAATTATCTTTCCTCACTCCTGAATTATAGGAGGTAATATCAAGTGAAAACGTCTACTGTGCCAAAGACAAGTTTCTAGCCAGATGGTTACAAGGTCTTAGAATTTTTCTCCCAATGCTCAAAATTATTTCATTATGCAAAATTGCAAAAAATCTAGATGCAGTGTACTTGCTTATTGTGATTAACATCACCATCAATTGAAAGCAGATCTTGCATGGGGAGAGAAAACTCATCTTTTCAAAGGCAGGAATGCTAAAACATGAAGAATAAGGAGTAATATCACAAGGTAGAAATAAATCTGAAGATAGCTTCAAATCAAATAATAGAATTACTTCTTTAATAAATTTGGGTTTAAAGTGTCTTTGGTCTTTAAAGCGGTAATGAGATGAATAATTGCTGTAATGTCTGTAGACAACTACACAAGTCGTGGTTTTGAGTAGGGTTGCATCAGTTAGCCAAGCAGTTATGGAAAATAAATCAAATAATGCTAGACAATCTATTAAATTTTGTACTTGCTTGGGAAACTGATTGCTTATTAGTTACAGATAGTAAAGAGTACTTTGAGACACACCTTTAAAACTGAATACCCACTACAGCCACATTAGTTTATGTACGGATGCAGACACATCAATCTGAATAAGGCAGCAACTTAATGAGACACTAAGGACATAAGGGCATGGCACAGCATGGCACATGGAGGCATCCTAAAGGCAGTGCACAGCAGTTTCGTAACAAATATTTCATTCAGAAAGAACATAGTAAGAATGTATTGGCCAAAGTGATTTGAATATATAAAAGAAGTAAGGTTACAAATAAAAAGTCATATCTTCTTTCAGACTAACTAATATAACTGGAAAAACTGTAAAAGTGCTGACACAAAACCCTTTTCCAGGTTCAAAGCTGTAAGAGATGACTTAAAACTAGCAAGAGTTATTCTTGGTTTAATGAGTATCAACTAGATTGAATTAACATAAAAAAACCACCCCCAAAACCAAACGCCAGTAGTTGGCATTTGAAGAGCAGACAAAGGAGTGTGAGCCATGTGATCACCTCTCCTTTGGAACTAAGTGAAACATAAAGATGATAATTTATTAAGCATAAATATGGGAGGGAATAAGTGCCAGGGGAAGTGACAGGGAATTACAACACATAGTAAAACCAGAAAGATCTACTTAGTCCACGCTTCTTACTGTTTAATGGGAATTACGAATTTTCAGGCTCATCTTTGGAATAGATTAGTCTCTTGAGAATTCAAGTGAGGTTAGAAGTGAAGAGGATGTTCTGCTGAAAAACGTTCCCACACTGGTACCTGTCCTTTTCCTTCTTCTACAGATTAAGAATTCATTCTAGGGGTGCAGCAGTGGTGTAAGTTCATGCAGCTGCTAGGTAACTTTATCAAATGTACAGTACACCATGAGGACTGTAAACACAGAGGACAGTGATTTTTGAGGGAACAGTTTGTAGCTCAAGCAGAGGCCTTTCAGTTGGTGTTCAGTAAAAACAGTACTGCCACTGCTAATAACAGGCCATAAGCTGTGTGCTAACTGTGGAAGGCTCCAGTCCCAGATGTTTAAGGCTATTACTAGAACTTGGCATGCGAACAGGAGCTTGGTGCCACAGGTCTCCTGTTATCATGTGGAGTTTAATCACAGAACAGCACAAAGGCCTTGAAAATAGGGACACAGGTTGAAAACAAAGGCTCCCAAAAGACAAGCAGTTAATGAGGAAGAAGGCATTGAAGACGCAAAACCTTAAGAGTTCGGAGAAGACTGCTTTTGCTTTAAGAAAATGCAGTAGCAACTAAGGAAGGGGAAAAAAAAAAACAACAAAAACAACAAACAGGCAAGCAACAGGATGAGGCCATGACCTGGGAAAGTAATGCCTCTCCAAGTACCACACAGCACATAGTCCAGGGCAGAGGTCAAGGGGTGGGCGCTGTCCAGAAACAAAAAACACATTATGAAAGGACAAGCTCCTTAATTTGAGGGAAGATGTCCATCTCAGTTGCAGCTTTCCTTATTTAAGAGCTCTTGAGCATGCTCACTTTGACTTCCGTGACACAGACCATCAAGGAGAGGAGCTATTGGTTCCAACTATACCGCACCACCACGATGGTGTTCTATTCTCACAGCTCTTGTAGGATGTGACTGTTACGGACTGACCACTTTGAATACAAAATGGTAACAATTAGTAGACGTAAAACAAACCATTAGCATGTTGTGTATTGTTAACAAAAGTTGGTCTAGTAAAGTTTTGGTTTAAAGATTAAAACTAGCTTGATTTATCAGTCTCCTAAGTACTACTCACAGCAATTGTTAATTCCCTCCCTTGCACACCGTCACTTGCAACACATCAGCTGAGCTGCTACTGGCGAGCAGTTCACAAGGAGAGGGCTTTGTTCCATCTGCTACAAGAGAGTGTACATCTGGTTGCGGCTGGGAAAGTTTCCTTCAAAATAGCACGTTCCTCCAGTATGGGCTGTATTTGTTTTAACACTTTCCCAATAAGCTTTAGCTTAAGGAGCTGATAACCAGAAGTATACAACTGCAGTTAGTTTGAATGCAGTTATCAGGTGGTTTGATCAATATGGGGAATGATTCTGCTAGAACAACATCCTTGTTAGGTAGTCATTGATTGGAACTGTTAAACTAGTTATCACGAGCGTTCGCTTTAGAGTAGGTGCAGATAGTGCCTTTCACTCAGCTTCAGTATGTCTTAGGAAAGCAAGTGCATCTTTCAGCACTTATCTCCAGCTATAGAGTGAGCTCCTCTTTATGCATATGTACCATCAAAATTTCAAGACGCATGCTTCTCATCGCTAGGATGAGAAGACAGACATCGTAGACATTAATCGTTATTGAATACAGTATCAGAAAATGCTCGAATACTTCACTAACAGCCACAAAATCAAAATACATATACCTACACCTAAGAGTTCATAATGCTGTTTGAATCTCAGAGCATGCTGCAGAGGAGTTAATGAGCTCAGTTACTATGCATAAACAATACCTAACACCTTGCCAGCTGGCACCAGCTCTCCAAAACACAGCTAAGTGTGAATATTTATGCAATAATGATACTTCTAATATGACTTATCAAGTAACTGAAAAACACACTTCTTTCCCCAAAACATTGATTTGTAGGTAGCCTTAAGAGATCAGTGTTTAAAAGGGCTACGAAGCTGTACAGAACTCAAGACTCCCTTACACATCACACTGTGGTATGTCACCATCAGTTGCTGTGCCTTTCCAATCTGTAGCAAGCAAGAAATCAAAATCACACTTAATGTTCTTAGTCATCTAAAGTATCCTGTTGACCACTTAAATGGGCCAATACCTGAAAGCAGGTTTAAAAGGCACTTCACCAAAACAAGTCATTAGCTGAGAACTTCAGGTCAACAAAATTCTGGAAGTCAGGTAAATTCATGTTCCTAATTTGATTATATAGATCATTAGTAGATTTATAAAGGGAATAAAACTGGACACAAATAAGTATCAGGAAAATAACTTGCCCTTCTGTGTACTTTTAAGTTTTTTTTCTGTTCAGAAAGATATATCATCCTGACAACTTAAAAATGACAGCATCAGAACAAGTCAATAAACCTGTAAGGTAAAAGACAAGCAATGGACTTTGCAAAGAATAATGCAGCACACATAAGATCAAGGGCTTCCTGCTCCAGTTAAAAGCTGATTTCCAAACAAATGTGTACCCTTAAAGTTCTAGGCTAACCCTTCAGGGCTCAACAGCTTATTTTTGAAAACAACATTTTTGCTTGACCTTTACACAAATCAGAGACAAAACAGTGAGAGAAAAAGGACTATTCTCCAGCATCACGTCTTTGACTTTCTAACTGTAAAGAAATCAACTTCTTCTGTAAAAATATCCATCAGGTTGCATTTCACCTACCCTGAAAAAACAACACCCATTATGAAGACGAGAACACCAAACCTTGGAATGCTTACCAGAAGGAAAAAAAAAAAAAAAATAAGCATGATAGTTGAATTACTACCGAAGAATGGACTGTATTAGCTAAAAACTTAGGAGATTACTTAAAGAAATTCTCAGGGCTAGAGAAAACATTAGGTCATGTGGTAACTTAGGCAAATATTTGAGAAACTGACGTGATTTGGAACACACAGATCAGTCATGCTAAAAGCACAGAAGGAGAAACCTGAGGGGTCTTCTGTCTTCCTGTCTGAGAAATCTCTGAATGAGATATCGGCTGCTGGTGCAATGATGAATAATTCTTGTGCAAGAAGCAAAACGATCAATTTAAGAAGACATTAGCAATGTCTTCTCATATACCATTAGAGAGTTCTGAGTGATTATGCACAGATTTAGCCAGCAGCAATTTACTTTTTCAAGGTTTCGAGCCTTCAAGAAATGAAGGAAAAGCATATGAATGGAAAAACAGGTGGGTGAGGAAAGAATTGGGTTTTTTTATTTTTCAGAAATGAAATCTTAATAGTCCAACTATATATTGCATATTTCATTCACCTGAAAAAATACCTTAGAATAGAGCATGGGGTGCAAAATTTGAAGCATAAGTGAGGACCCACTCTACTTTCCCCAGACAAAGGATTGGATGAAATAAACCCCACTTCAGAAACACACCACTGAATAAACTGGTTTATAACACTACTGCTTCTAAAGAACACTGGAAAAATCTGAAGATGAAAGGCAGCAGTGCTGCTAACACCAAAGCTTTTAGAAAAAAGTAAACTGATGATTTGGAAAAGCTTATATTCATATTAAATCTTCACGCAATTTACATGTTTATATAGTGAATTACTACCAAATATTTAAGGTCTGTCTCCATCAAACTTGAGCTAAGTATAACTGCTGTAACGAACAGCACATTTTAATAGGGGTACAGAAGACT